ATAAGCTGCCACAGCACCACCCAATGCCAATCCATTCATTCAAAACCACACTGTGTTAGGGTCAGGTACAGAACTTTTGCCTCCAACCCTGTGGGTTTATTTAGTGCTTAGTTGACAGTTCTTGCAGCTGTGTCCTTTCAGTGACTGCTTTGTGGTGGCCAAGAGAGTTGAGGTCGCCTGCCAGGACTTGGAATCTGGAGGGACACATGAACACATTATTCTTTTTCTCTGAAGCTATCCAAATCCTCTTCCGGTCAGATGGGGAGATAGTCAGAGGGTGTTCTGAAGCAGCCCGACAGCTTACTGCCGCTGCTGCTGCCATGTATGACAGTACTGTGAGAGAACATGCTTCTGCCTACCCTCAGAGAGATCTTCAACAGAAGGTCAATTACAGAAGAAGGTGTGATACATAAAACTTAACCCCAAGCAGCTTCTGGCTTTAGTTGTGGAAACTGCCCTTTTCTTTGCTCAAGAACTACACGTTGGGGTCAGTCTGCAATGAGAGGCCAGAAAGATGGGCTCCTATACTTATTGAATACAAAAGAGGCTTTTTGTTTAAGTTGGTTTTTGCTACAATTATTCAGAGCTTCAGTTCTCTTTACTGCAGAGAGGGGAAATTACCTCAGAGGTGGAAAAGTTTTTACTTGGACTGACCGTCTGGAGGAAAAGTTTTTGTTTTGTTTTGTTTTTTGTTGTTGTTGTTTTGTTTTGTTCGTTTTGGAAAGTGTTTCGTTCAGCGTGATGGAAAAGCAAAACGCCATCATCATTATCACTGGCCCTCCTCCACTGTGGCGTCTCTCCAGATTCCCGCCAGTAATTCTGACTAACCATCTGAGTCACCAAGTTTCAGATGTTTATGTATTTCAACACAATTCCCAGGCTTACAGGATATTTATTTATTTATTTATTTATTTTCTTGTTTGGGGACTTGGAAAGAGTCAAACACCCTTCTGAATTTCCCGTCCAGTGTCACTGGATGACTGGGCACAAGGTGGGCAGATGGAAATGCCCCTTCACTAACAAAAGTCCAAGTGCCCCGAACGTCAAAAGATTAGTAAATACTTCCAGCTTGGAGGAGACTCAGTTGATGGTAAATATTTGTGTTTCTACCATGGTAGTGGTGAGAATTTAAAAAGAGAAGGACATTCAGTGAAACTATGGAAAAGTGGATGCTTGGGAAATGCGGTGACTAACTTTTAACATGGCAACGGTGTGTGCCTTTGTTTTTGTGCATCTCAAAAGAATTATTAGTGGACACTCTAAACTAACGTAACATTTTTTAATGAAAAAAATCCATTGCTTTAATTATATTCTCATGTTTTTCCCGTATCTTTTGTCACATCAGTCCCAGGCTATCTGTAGACTATAAGTGTATCTGAATCGCTGGGTGATGGTGGCGCACACCTTTAATCCCAGCACTTGGGAGGCAGAGGCAGGAGGATCTGTGTGAGTTTGAGGCCAGTCGGGTCTACAGAGGGAGTTCCAAGACAGGCTCCAAAGTTACACAGAGAAACCCTGCCTCAAAAAACCGAAATAAATAAATAAATAAATAAATAAATAAATAAATAAATAAATAAATAAATAAATAAATGTATTTGAATCTTACGTCAATTCTTAAAAAATATTTATTTCTATTTCATGTGTATGAATGTTTTGCCTTCATGTATTTAAGTGTACTTCGTGTATGCCTGGTGCCCATGGAGGTCAGAAGAAGACACTGGATCCCCTGGTACTGGCATTGGATGGTTGTAAGCTGCCATGTGGGTGCTGGGAACCAAACCCAAGTCCTCTGCAAAGAAGCAAATGCTCTTAACTACTGAGCCATCTTCCCAGCCCCTTATGTCCATTTTAAAGAGCAATTCCTAGGATCTGGAGAAATGGCCCAGAGGGTGAGAATGGGTGCTACTCAAGCATGAGGACCTGAGTTCAGATCCCTGCACCCACATATTTAAAATAAAATAACAAATAGAAAAGCAGCTGTGTGTGGCTGTGCACACTTGTAATCCAGCATTGTCTGGGGTGGAGACGGGAAGACTGATGGGGTTCCAGGCTCGGTGAGCCAGCCTATCCCAAGGGAATAAGGTTGCATAGTGACAGGACAGGGTACTCTGTGTCTTGCCCTAGCCTCCAGGTATGCACACACACACACACACACACACACACACACACACACACCAATTCCCTGTAATTTTATATGAGATAATTTCATAAATTTTCCCCTTTTATCTTTTTATTATTTTTATACATGTTTAATTAAAGTAGAATTACATCACCCACACCCTTCCCATTCCTCCTTCCAGCCCCTCCCAGTTCCTGTCCCTCCAGCCTCCTCCTTGCTCCCTCCCCAAATTGACATCCTCTTTTACTTTCTTATTGGTACATACATTTATATGTATTATATGTATGCACAAATATACAGATACAACAAGCTAAGTCCATTTTTGTCGTTTGTATAAGTGGTTTCAGAACTGACCACTTTGTATTGAATAACCAATTAAGGGGCTCACCCCTGGGAGAGGGCATTTCTTCTTCTCTTGGCAGTTATAAACCTTTCTTTGCTCATGAATTTTTTTCCACATCATCTCAAATTGATAATGTTACAGTTTTTAGCATTTTTGAAGGATTTTCATACATGTTATCTCATTTTAACCTCATTACCATATGCAGTACAGAAATGCTTTATCATGCCTTTTACAGAGGAGAGAATTGAAATCCAACACATTGATCTTACTAGTTTAGACTCATGCACTAAAGACATAGGGGTCATACTAGAATTGAAATTCCTATCCAAAACTATTTCACTACCTTTTTTACAGAAATTAAAAGGTTTGCCTCTAAAAATCCCTAATGTAAGATTAATAATAAAGCCTGGATAGATACATTGTTGCTCTTCTCTCCTGGTCATTGCAAATATAATTTAATATTATATTACATTCATGTAGTCCAGAGCATCAATTATAGTCTGACAACACAAAATATAATGATATGAAGTAAAATAAATTTGATATTTTAACGAGTTTATTCATCATTCTTTATAGAATGTCCTACAATGGTATATATAGAATGTTCTGGAACATGAATTCATAAGATTCTCGTCCTTCAAGCTAGCTGTATATTTTTTTCATCGTGAATTCATTGGGGTTTATATTTAAACAGATGGTCTTTTGGAAAAGGTCTATCTGCCATTTTCCAGCCAACGAGCATCCTTAACACATACATGCTCTTCTGCTGAGACAAGTGCCTTGCCATCTTCTGTCCCCAGTTTGTCCTATGACTTCACAATGAGATTCTTCAGGCTGACTTTGACCTTGAAGTAGTTGGACACTCAAGTGATATTATCTTCAAGCATGGTTTGTGAACTCCCCAGAGCCCCACCCCACATCTACACCATACCCAGTGGGAAGAGTGTGGCCAGTGAACAGCATTAACTTGCACTCCGGACTCTAGAGTTAGGTTGTTACCATAACAACATGACTTTTCAGTTCCTGGACATTTCTTTTTTTAAGATTTCTTTTTTCTTTTATTTTATGTGTGTGGGTGCTTTGCCTGCCTGCATGCAACATGGGCATGTCTCATGCCCACAGAAGTTAGAAGAGAGTATCAGATCCTTCAGAACTGGAGTTATGGATGGTTACCATCTGGGTGATGAGAATTGAGCACTCCATAAGAGAAGCAAGTGTTCTTGACCACTGAGCCATTTCTCCAGCCCAATTCCTGGACATTTCAAAAATATGGCTTCTGAATATCTCCTGGGCCCTGTACTGAAGAATGAAAATGGAAAACAGGTGAGAGGCAGCTACAGAAATGACTGGTTGACACGGTTTACCTCTGTGCTGGGGACGGCCACCTATTGACACAGCCAGTCAGCCAGCACGGGGTCGCACCTTGTACCCCTCTTCTTCCACAATTCCCGCACTTGGACATTAACAGCCACAGTGCTAAGCATGGCTTGTCCACCACACATAAATACAGTATTATTACACAGTTATTCCAATCTAGGGCAACATGAACTAATGGATAACTATTTCCCCTTCAAACCAGACACAATCAGCATTCCTCTCGCCAGTGTGTGCCAGAAAGCGAATACTGAACATTTCTTTTGCAGTGTGTGTGTGTGTGTGTGTGTGTGTGTGTGTGTGTGTGTGTGTGTGTGTGGTGGTGGTGTTGCTGTTGTTGGGCTCAGAACCGGTGCGGCCTTTCACATCCCAGGCAAACGTTCTATCACTGAGCTACACCATAGCCCAGCAAAAATTTTTGGGAGAAGGCTGAATCAAGAGAACTATACCCACGTGAGGCCTTTAAGCCCAAAAGCGGGCCGTGTTCAGGCTCTGGCAAGATGTGGGGAACGACGGACACACATAAACAGAAAGCAGGACCTTGGAGGAAAGAACAAAGAGGAGGGCGCTAGGCTAGGAGAAAGCTGGGATTAGGGGTTGGGTCTGATAACAGATTCATAAAACAGGGCTCTCTAATCCGAGTAGGGCAATTGCCTTCAGCTACAACCTGAAACAATTAGAGTCAAGTGGTAAATTAGATACAGTATTTTGTAAAAAAAAAAAAAAAAAGTCCCTGCCCTGGGCCCATCCGATCACTAGGGTTTGGTCAGAGGAAATGCTTGCTTGTGGCTCTTCCCAACTTCTGGCAGGACGCCAGGAGCTGAACCCCTCCGGGGTACTCCCGGCCCATTCCCAATGCCCGAGAAAGCTCAGCACTGCCGCTCTGTTATGCTTTGACTTGGGACAAATGTGCATTTAAAACCTGGCAGGGAGGAGTCTTGGAGATTGCTGGCCTGGGGGCTGCAGCGATGGGCTTTGGGGTGGGGTGTGGGGAACAAATGACAAGAGGCTGCATTCGCTCCAGAACTGTCCCATATCCCCGCGGGGTGCGGAGCCGGCAGAGGCACAAGCAGCGGGCCGCCAGGGACGCTCCCTGGAGCGCGCTCAGGTGCATCAGGCGCTGCTCCACAGCTGCTCCCCCGCCGCCTCGGGAATGGGGCTCGGCTGAGGTCGCGGCTCTCCCGCCCGCAGGCTGGGGGGCGGGGCGGCCCCAGTCCCATCCCCCGCGTCCCATCCCCCAGCGCAGCCGGGCCTCCACATCCTCCCGGCGTCTGTCCTCCCCGCGTTCCCCACGAGAGACATGGCCGGGAGCAGTGAGAAGGCGCCAGACTCCGGGCGAGGCGTCGTGGTAAATGCAAACTCCGGACCCCGGGCTCCCTAGCTCGCTCCTCTCCCCTCCCTTCGTAGCATCCCCTTTTAGCTGAAATACGTTCGGGTGAGAACCGGCCACGGCTTTGTTCCTCCTCCCGGCGGAGATCGCTGCCTTCCTCGCATCCTGGCCTCTCCTTTCCACCCCAACTGACGAAACCTCTACTAACGTCGCTCCTTCATCCCGAGTTCCCAGTAACTCCTCCCCTCCTCTCCTTCCTCGGATCCCTGGCCTGGAAGCCTGCGTGCTACCGGGTCCCCACTTGTGCTAGCCACAAAGAACCTGGCCTGCGAGCTGGGGTCTGGGAAGACCCCAGCGTGCTGCTCTAGCGGCTGCCTTCTCACTTCATTGAGTTTCGAGTTTTGTTTTCATTAAAAAAAAAAAAAGCTACTGAGAACTCTTCAGGGCAGCCAAGATACAAAGTAGCACAAGTGAATGAAATCCGAGCTTTCAATCTGGGGCGCGGCTCTGCAGAAGTCGGCAGTCGGAGCGCCCTGAGCCTTGTCTGTGAAGGAAGACAAACTGAATGTGTGAAATACCCAGTAGTGTGTCTCGTGATGGAAGGATGGAGGGTGGGGCCAGATCTGAAACTCTTCAATTCTAGGGATCATTCAGGTATCAACCAGAGGGTACCCACCTCCCAGAATCCTGGAATCAAACTCCAGCGAAGGGTGGTTATGACTACCGGGACTGGTGTGAAAAGGTGTGAGGGTGGTGGGTGGGGCCGACGTGTCACTAAGACTGTCTTCCCAGAGCTCCCCGTGTACTTCGCAGTTAATCTGTTTATGGAAATGAATGGATTGAATTAGAACGAGGGGGTTGGGAAGGAAAAGTCTCTCACTTAAATAGAACTGTTCAGGTTGAAATGTGGGGTTCAGCTCTTAATTTAACAGCAAGTCCTGCCTTTCTTAAAGGAGGGGTGCTTTTATTCTGCTCTGCTAGTCTGGTCTTACTGTTGGAACAAGACAAAAGCTCTTTTTCCTGGAATGTGCGTTCTAAGGGAGGGACATAGGCAAGCAGTGTGAAAACACAGTCAAGATAATTCAGACAGCCCGGTGGGCAACCGGAAGGAGAACAGTTACTGGAAGCCGGTGGGGAGCAGTGTCTTTGCTCATAAGATGGGAGTTGCAGTGACATTTCACCCAAGATCTGAAGCATAAACAGAAGGTAACCATGAGGGGACCCAAGGCACAGAGAGGCACATAGCAAGAGCAAAGAAGAGATCGTTGTATCTGATTTGTGTTTTTACAATAAAAACATTCCAGTCGCCTTAGGGATGATAGACCAGAAGGGAGGGGTGTGAAAATATGAAAGAGGAAATCATGAAATTAACTCCCTTATTAAGTCTATAATGCACACAGCTCAGGTTACCCTGTAGGCAATTTGGAATTCACACTTGAAACTCCAGAATGTGACAGGGTAGATTTGGGAAACCATCAGCAGAAGGCTGGTTAATATTTGGGGGATAAATGAAGAACAAAGTGGAAAATGGAAGAAATTAAAACAAGTGTTGACAACAGATGCCTGTGGAGAGCCCCCAAATATGAGAGTTACACTGTGGCACAGAGCCAAAGGGACCACCAAAAATGAAGAGCTATATGGCAGAAAGCAGAAGAGATGCCTAGGAACAGTTGGGTGGAAGTGGATTTGCCAGGGTCATGAGATCATCAAGAGTGTCAGATGCTGCCAAAGGAGCAGGTAGCATGGAAGTGGGCAGGAGCCCTTTAGTGTGGAGCGTCTTCCAAATAGCCACCCTTAGAATGCTTAGAGTACCCTGTATAGTAAGTCCTAGATGCTTCTAAAGAACATGATCCGGCAGGTGGTGTGGTTCAGAGGCAGAGCATTTGCCTTGCATAAAATCCATCCCCACCACTGATTATTAAAAAAATCAAAAGGAGATAAATCTAGACGCACTAGTAGGATGGGTAGATTATTGAAGTCTAAAAAGCAAATGATAGAACAGTGTAAATATAATAGTCCCATCTATTAGTGTCAACAGAGACCTTCTAGTGAGAGATGCATGAACATAGCAAGCGTGCGTAGGGAGAGGAGAAGCTGTGTACACTAGCTAGTGTGGAGCTTGGGCCCCAAGAGCAGTTGCTATACTGCACAAAGTGCCCCCAAGGTTGGCAGTCACCAGTGCAGGATGGAAATGCGCCCCCCCCCCCGCGCGCATATGTTAATTTCTCCAGTAGAACTTGGATAGTAAAGTTCAGAGAAAATTCAGGTGCTGAAGAAAGGAAAGCGTTAGGAAAGCCAGAGAAGATAAGTGTGCTAGCAAAATAGAGAGCTCTTAAGGATGGGGTGAAAATAATCAAGAGGATGTTATAACAATAAAAAAAAAAACTAGTAGGAAAATAATAAATAATAAATTAAAATGATTTTAAAAAACAGGGGTTTAACAAGCACTTCTTTTGTGTTTTTGTCACGTCCTTCATTTAATCGGAACAAATCCGTAAGTAGGTACCCAACACTCTCCATTTTACAGAAACGAAGATGAGGGCTCCGAGAGAAGACGTAAAGCCTCACGTTATGTAGTTAGGCTAGGTGCGTAAGGAGCAGGTGACAGCCGCGGACTCTGAGCCAGCTTTCAAGCACTGTGCTGCACAGGAGCCTGTCACTCCAGAATCAGGGCTGCTCTGGAGGGCGGGTGGGCTTAGGGGACTGTGTTGCTTCATGTAGAATTAGGAAAAACTAATTGAGTGGGACAGTTGAGGGAGCTACAAGATGGAATAGTTAGAAAGATCAGGAAGGCGGGTTTTAGTAAAGCATCCACGGTGTTTAACAATGACTAGGAAGGAAAGACCGGGTCTGGAGAGCTATGGTGGCAAAGGTAACGGTTAGAGAAATATGGAGCTGAAGGATCTAATCATGACATGGCACAATTTGTGTAAGAAGAGGGACTACTAAGAAATCTAAGCCACTCATGGTCCAGCTCTACCAGATAAAGGATACCTGAACAGAGAAGTCTCTCCTTCCAGGGAAAGGAAATAAAGGTAGAGACCCATGGCTGCTCTAGATGGTAAAAAAATAAAGGATGGCTGAGGTGTCTGCCCGAGACAAGACATTGAGTGAACTCCGTAAGGCTCAGGGGACATGGTGGAAGAGAGGGCGGAAAGAATGTAAGAGCCTCAAAATGGGGAAGGGGGCTGGGAAAGAGCAGGATGTAGGGATGGGAAGCATGAACTCACAGCAGCTGGGTACTGATACAGGGCCCACAGAAGTCAGGCCCTCGTAACAGTCAGCTGTGAAGAGAGAAGGGACCCACAGGACTTTATCACATGCTGCTGATCTGTGGGAAATCCACAGATTCTGGGAGAGGGGGAGGCAGGATTGTGTACCCACTGTGGAGCCCACCAGGCTCTGATGGTCGGTCCAAACTCAATGTCACACAGGTGACCCTGGTTAAACAATCTGGGACACTAAAGAAAACCAAAGCAAGTAGAGGAAAGGTAATTACAGGGAGGAGGGGTTGGCTGGAAGGGGTTCCGAGAGAAAAGGAAGGAGGAGGGCAGGTCCAGAATACATAGTGCGCACATATGAAAATGTGAAATAACAATCCACTAATAAAAAAGTTAAAATGGGTCTTATCTGCAGGTGACTTTCAGTTGACTTGGGTAGGAGGGGCATTAATGCATTATAACGAGTAAATAGTAGCATACAATAATTGCTAGAAGAAAAGATGTAGACTGAGTCCAGAGATCTTGCCCAAAGTTGGGTCACTTGGTTTGGAGCTAGTCAAGTCACCAGATGTGTAGTTGATACTTCCTGATTATTTCTCAAGGAGATAAGATCTTCTCTGCCTGGCTGGCTTTTGGGGGTCAGGTTCTTAAATAGCGTTGTCCCTCCAGTTTGTGCTTTACTGAAGTGTTGTCCAAGGATCCATAGTCGGTACCTACACAAGTAAGTTTGGGAAAAGATGAGAAAGAGCAAAGTTACTGTTGAGTTTCTGTTATGCTTAACTCTCTCCTTCCCTTGTGTCCATGCTCATTCCCACGCGGATGGAGTGGCAATATATGAAAATAAATAAGAGGAAGAGGAATAATGCAGAAGAGGAAGGCGTTGGGACCCAACATGTCCTGTGGCCCGTTGAGCTCTGTCATTGCATTAGCAGAAGAACAAGGGCTCTGCTTTCAGCACCTCTTGTGTCCACCATTCTAGCATGGTTGAGTTGGGCTCTGGGGCTGGGCCGGCTGATGTTGCTGTCTGGGGTTCTGTGCTGTTGGAGAGAGAGGCACAGGCACGGACACCAATGGGGAGAGTGGGGCCACGTGCATGGAGCCCGGAAGGGGACAGAAGCAGACTTGAGTTGCATCCCATGTGTTTCTGAGCCGTTTTCCTCCCTGGAAAGAAATAGTCTAAGGGGAAAAATAGGTTGTCGATGTAGCTTTAAATGTGAACAAGAGAGTCAGATGGGTTCTGGATTTGGACGTAGTATAAAAATGACTCAGTTACTGTGTTTGTCATTTCTCCAGCTTGGAGATGTGTTTGCCTCTTTGAACAGAGAAGGCATTGTGTGGTGTGGAATAAACTTAGAACATGTTATCTGTGATCCTGAAACTATTTAAAGATTTCTTTGTTTTTCATTTTTTTTGTTTGTTTTTTGTATTTGTTTTAAAGCAAGTGAATCCATTACCTAAGGTTCAGAGGCACCCTGCATCCCTCTGGGGATAGACTTACTCATTACACAATTCGTGTGCAAAGACAGTAAAACAGACCTGGAGCCTCTTGTCTCTGGTTGTCTTATCTCCTCAGTTGAAAGCACCATTTCAGATTAACTGCAAACAATGGCCGCTTGTGATTGTGAGAACAGTTTTAGAGAAATGCATTTCTATCAGATTTAATTTTACTGCTTGAGCTGGGGTAGTAAGACTTTGGCAAATCACACTGAGGTTTTTCCTTAAATGAGTTAAAACATACTTATATAAATGATTATGAGTTATACAGACAACCGATGCTTCAGTATAGTTACATGGCTAATGTCGTTGCATAAGCACTATAGGCCACATGCTAGAGAGGCTTGTATTAATTTTCTGTCTTATTTAACCTTCACAATAGCCATGTGAGGCAGGCGTTGCCTTTATTTTAGAGACGTTGTCATGTCCAAGGTCCCGTAGCTAACAGACTTGCCCCAGAGGAGCTAGATTTTGAAATCTGTGATATCCACCGTTACTCATGTTGCTCTGAGCTACTGATTGCTCTGACCATTTTCACGTATAGATTTGTTTCATAATTTTCTTATCATCTTTTCCTTTCCTTTGGCGTGTGTGTGTGTGTGTGTGTGTGTGTGTGTGTGTGTGTTGGGGGGGTTGCATTTGTTCAGTGCTTGTTACGCACTCACTATTTGATGTTATGCACTCCATAGGTTTTATTGTATCTTAAAGAAAAGGGAGTCAGGACTGGGCACAGTGGCACGCATCTTTAACCCCAGCTCTCAGGGGACAGGCAGAAGCAGGTGGATCTCCGTTGAGTCTAAATCCCAGTCTGGTCTGCATAGCTAGTTCCAGGATAGCTAAGCCTACATAGTGAGGCCCTGTCTCAAAAACCAAAGAAAGAAAAGGAAAACAGGGTCTCCTAATCTCAAGGCAGTAAAAATCAGAGGGGAACATGACCTTGGCATAGAGAGGAATCTCTGTGATTCAGAGCAAAGATCTGTAAGGATTTTCATGAAGGGAGGAAAGAGCTCGGGAGATCACTAGTGTTGTGAGCAGACGAGCTCCAGGAAGTAGGGTGGGTAGCATTGTATGTCTAGAAGGAAAGCCAGAAAAAAGTGCTTGGGTGATCTCCCTGGATGGTCGTGACTGTGCCAGGGCCTCTCACAGAGGCTGTATGCCATTCAGGTGCAGCTGTTAGGTCACTGGGCAGCCACTCTGGTGTTAAAGGTCACAGCAGACTCCTGGAATGTTCATGGTGAGACCCAGAGTTGCTCTGTGCAAGTTCACCAGTCACGCCAACCAGCGTGCTGGTAAGGTGCAGCGAACACGACACTTTTTGAGTATGCAGATGATGCATACTCTTTGGCCAGTGCTGCAGCTCCGAATCTCCAGAGCTTTGAAGAGTAGTTATTTCTATCCAAGGAGACAAACTAAGGGTTGAGGTTTGAGTTCTGAGACAAAGACTGTCTCGTTCACTTGATTCTTCAATATTTTTTAGTACTCAACAGATCTCAGATCAGTGATCTGAGCACTAGGGATTGAACAAAGAGGAAGATAAAGTCTCTGCCGGAAGTAGCTCACATTCTAGCGGGATGAGACAAGTCAGAACACGCACACGCACACGCACACGTACACACCTAGTAGTAATACATGCTATGAAGGAAAGTAAATTAGATATGAAGGATACAGAAATGAGATGGGAAGGGCAGAGAGTGCCAATTTATATTTGTGGTCAGGAAAGGCCTCTCCATAAAGGCGACTGTGAACGAAGACTGCGGAAAAGAATATGCAAGCCATGTGGTCATGTGCAGTAAGAGTATCATAGGCTAAAGAAATAACGGAATACTATACATTTTCAGCAGATTCAATCAGTGAGGAGAAAGCGGTTGGAGCAGAGTGAAGAGAAGGTGCCAGAGAATCAAGAGAGGGGCATTCTTGTGAGCCACAGTGAAGGCTCCAGGTTTTACTCAGCATGTAATGAGAAGCCCTTGAAAAAGTTGGAGTAAGAGAATGTCGTCACGGTGTGAAATTCACTCCTCAAAGCTCATTACAGATCCCATGGTGGGAGAAGCAGGGACAGGCTCGGCCATTTCCGCGGCAGGTAGGCGAGGATGAAGTGATGGCTGCGTAGACCCAGATCAGGGAGGAGAGGGAGCAGTGGCGCTTGCTCAGGTGTGGTTCTGCTCGCACCGGGAGGGAACTGGGGAGAAGATGAAGGACTGAGCGGCACAAAGATTAAAGGGAGAGAAGAAGCCAATGCCAAGGTCTCAGTCTGAGGAACCAGAAGAATGGGTTGAGATAAGGAAGGGATAAATTTGGGGAGAAATGGCATGAGTTTGGTCTGGCTAGAGACCAAAATCAGGATGAGAGTGGCTTGGGCTCTACCATAAAACATCCTTCCTAAAACCCGAGTCAAAGGGAATTGGTTTTGAGTCCTTCATCCAGAGAAGGGTGGGGGTAGGGTGGAGAATGTCTCAGTACAAGATGGAATGGCTGGAACGGACTCTAAACCAGCCGCAAAGAGATAAAGACAGAGCACGAGAATGGAAGGTGTGGAAATGTCCCCAAAGAGCCCGAGGTGGAGCCTTTTCTAAAGCAGAGCTGCAGGGAACCCCAGGGGAATAGGCTAAAGGATCACAACGTGAGAACAGTCATCGAGGCTTCCAGGAAGAAGTGAGATTGACCTGAGCTTCCAAGAAGGAGGTGAACTTTGGCATAGAGACGGAGGGAGTAGGAAGAACAGGGCAGTGTGTAAGAGAGATGAATGAAATCAGAGCTGGAAAGAATGAGGTGTCCTGGAGACCCCCCAGATGCTGCAGGATTTGAGACCTGCACCATAGAAACATGCCTGGTATTGCAAATACGGCCAAGAACCCATGCTTGGGGAGCTATTAGGCCACAGTATTGAACCTTTTACAATTATTTTTCTAAATGGACATACTGTCGAACTGCCCTATAAATTCTTGTCTCTTGGACTAGGCCTGGTGGTGCACACTTTTAATCCCAGCACTCAGGAAACAGAGGCAGGCTGATCTCTATGAGTTTGAGGCCAGCCTGGTCTACAGAATGAGTTCCAGGACAGCTAGGGCTGTTATACAGAGAAACCCTGCCTCAAAAACCAAATAACAACAAAACAAACCAAAACAAAACCAACAAAACAACAAACAAACCGATCATGTTTCTTACCCATAGATTAGTGCAGCTCTCAGACCCCCTCGAGAGGTTTCTGTGCACTGGATGCCCATTAAAGCAGAGACAAAGTACAGGGAATAAGTGACTGTGGAGTCCGCATCCACAAATAGGACATCTGTATCACACCCCTTCCCCCTAAGGCTCAGGAACCAGCTCAGAAGAGGGAGCAGAAAAAAAAAAAAAAAAGAACCAGAGATCAGGAAGGACCAGAGGGCAGTATTATCTTTTGCACAAAACAGGACCGCTGCAGTCATGACTGTGGTTGCCTGGGCAAGCTCAATCCAGTCACCATTTGAGCTTGGAGAGGAAGGGGCTCATGAGCCCCCACCCCTAGTTAAGGAGCTAGTGACCGTGGATGGCCTTTGGGAGAAGGAGAGTCAGTTTTCTCTCAAGGTACAGCATCTAGTAGATAACACGGTCCAGTGGATGAGGCCCCACCCCCATGAGTATGAGGGCAACACAGATGTGCTCAATGGGTTAAGGGAGAAAAAAAGAACAGGAAATTGGGAGAGGTGGTGGGTAGGGAGTCAATCTGAAAGAAGCAAGGAGGAGGAGTTGGGGTGAATATAGTCAAAATACATTACATGCATATGCAAAATGTTCAAAGACTTAATAAAATATTATATATATGCATATACATGCACAGAATCATGACTAAACTGGAAACCAATCTGAAGGCAGGGACTAGATGTAGAAATGAGCTAGAAAATCAGGCTGGGTCTGTGTTATAAAAGCCCTCCATGGCTCAAAGCTGGACAGGCTAGTCCAGACAGGGTGGAAAACGATAAGAAAGAGAGCTATGAAACCTTATACAGAAAGATTTTCAGGTATAACATTTTTCATTATTGTATCCTTCTTGTTTATGTGAAAGGAAAAGTAACTTTCACCTTCATTTTCTTCCACATCTTGTTATTATTCTAACCAAAAAACAAACAAACACAAAAAAACCCTTGTACATTAAGTCTTAAGCAAGAGAAAGGATTACTGCCTTGCTAACAGTCTGTGTTCTGTGAATATGCCAGTTTTCTTGGACCACCACATTCTAACTAAGAAAGGCTGAAGTTCCTTAAAAAGCATATCCTATTTTAGTCTTTATTGGACTGATGGGGGCACCCAGAAGTCTGGGTCTACTGTGATCCCGGGATATACTTTTCATAGGTAAACCTTCCCAGGCAGATGAGGCAATTCACTGTGAATAGAAATGCAGAATATATCAAAATACTCTTTATTATACAATGTGTATAATATAGTCATAATATTTTTATAGTATAGATACAAAGCATGTGCTTTCACATACATACTTCTTTTTACAGCGCCAGAGACAGAGTTTAGGACTTCAGACATACTGGACATTCACTGTTATTGAGCTGCACCAATATAGTGCTTTCATAAACACGATCTTCTACATAATTCCAACAGGTTAGCTCTGAGATGTTGAGTTTAGGGGCTGGAGAGGTGGCTGGGTAGTTAAGAGTACTTACTGCTCTTGCAGAGGGCCCAGGTTTAGTTCCCTGCGCCTATATCAAGCAGTTAACATCTGTAACTCCATTCCCAAGGCATCTGATATTCTCTGGCTTCTGAACTGGCTTTTGAGGGTACCTGCATGCACATGGAGGTACATAAACCCATGCAGGTACACATATATAAATAAAAATAATAAAATCATTTTTAAAAGACATTAGGTTTGCATTTTTATATTGTATGATGCCAATAATGGAACACACCATTGAGCTTACTACTCCCTTGTTTTATCAGGGTGCATAAATAGTAGCCTAGTTAGGAGTGGAGTATACACTGTTATCTTAGCACTCCCTTGTTCTATCAGATTGCATAAACAAGAACCTCTGACTAAGCTTTTAAGAGCTTGAGGGGAGATATTAATGTATTGAGATGTGCAGACCTAATCTCCCTGTTCAACATTATTCTGTTTTCAAATGACGGGTGTTTTTCTTATTATTTACATTTAAGAAAATAAATTAATCATGAAAAATACCATAACAGAACTACTTTGATTTACAGCTTATGGATAATTGGCCGGGATATGACTTGGATTTATTCACGTATCCACAGCACTATTATGGCGATCTGGAGTGTGTGCTCATCCCTCATGGCATCATAGTGGACAGGTGAGTGCTGTGTGGTGGGTCAGCACTGCATTTGGGTGGCCCCCTCTTGTGGGACACTTACAGTACTGTTAGAGACTTTTCCTGGTGGTAGGGAGAACTTCTATAAGGTAGCAAACTTGAACGCAAGGAGTGTGTGCCTTCACTGAGTGGTGTATGTAGGCATTTATTCAGGAAGACTGGTAAGAAAGATATACACACATAAGCTAATATAAATAATACTCCCCCCCCACACACACACACACCAAAAAAGCAATGTCTTGTACTTACCATGGAGTTGAGGACCGGAAAGCATGGCTTTGACCCAGAAACATTTGTCTCATGCTTTTCACAGATTTTTGGTTTAACCAGGGGGAGTTAGGAGGTGAACTTTACCTTCACAAGACACGCTCTGAAAACCCTGACCTTTCCCTGCAACTTTCCTTTCCTTTGGAATAGTGTGTCACTGGTTGGCCAGTCAGCTTGTGTATGATTATGGCCATCCGTGGTAATGTTTTGAGAATAACAGAATGTGCAACTTCAGCCTGTCTGTGGAGAGCACAGGTATTTTCTCTCCCGTTCTAGGTCCTTCATTTCTAGTCCTAGACATTTCCCCTCACTCCTGGTTCTCAAAAGGCTGCCTTTGATTTACTACCATGGATCTGGATTTGTAGATGTAGCCCTGTAACAGAACCGCCTCAGTACCTAAGCCACCTAGACCACTCCTGTACCAAGACTGAATAAGTAAATCTTCACACTCACATGGAAGACCAGGTCCCGGATCAACGACTCCTCAGAGGCCAGGAACCCAGAGAGAGGAAGACAGTGGAGAGTGAGCAATTGGAGTCCCCAGGCTGACTCTTTCCTCCATCTATAGTCTATTGTTTTTTAATCTGTTATAGTCTGGTGAGGTTCAATTTCACTCTGTGAACCAAGTCCTTGAAGCAAAAGAAATGCTCAAAACTATCCACAGGACACTTTCCCAGATAATATCTTTCCATCAATCACTGTCAGTAAGGAAAAGGATTTGTCACTTACACAAATTCCTAGATTGTCTAAGATTTCTATTGGCTAAGACTTGTATGTTGTTTGCTGTCTCAACTCATAGTATATCATAAAAACAAGTTCTAGTTTGGAGTTTATCATGGCCTAAGATGGATTTCCCATGGCAACCACATTTGATCCTTAAAAAAAGAAAATTTCTGTCAAATAAATTTAGGGAATTTTGCAGTTTTCCATCGTGCAAAATCTCATTAGCATATCAAAGATTGGGGGAATTTTGCCCCCCAAAATTGTTATGAAGGCTCTTGACTTAAACAGTTATGTCAATGTGTGCAAAAAGTAACTTCATTTATTCACTTTTTCATACACCTCACAAGCCATTTCCCCTAGTATCAGTTTGGGAGGCCCTGTGTATAAACAAATTCTTACTTTCCTCACTTGAATTTTGTGGTTTC